ATGCGTGTGTGTGTGTGTGTGTGTGTGTGTGTGTGTGTGTGCGAGCATGTGTGTGCGTGCGAGTGTGTGTGCGTGAGTGTGTGTGTGTGTGTGTGAGACCATGTGTGTGTGTGTGAGTGTGTATGTGTGTGTGTTACTACCCAGCACTATCAAATTAATAATAATAATTATTATTATTATATTAATAATTAATTAGTAAATTAATTAATGTTTTTTTTTAACTGTATTTTAATTTCCCCAAATTGTACATCCCTATTTGAAACATTAATGAGTGACCATCATGAGCCAGATCTCCAGAGTCAGAGTTTGATCTTCATCGTTTTTGCAAAGCTCTCTTATCAAAACCTGATGTGACAAAGCTCATAAACTGCAGCAGATCCAGTGTTTAATCTTAGACTTGTTTAACAGCCTGTTAATTGTGAAAACAAATAAAAATCACCTGCTGAGTCAATGACAAAACCGTCACACATACCAGATGTGTGTGCGATACTGCAGAAACACTTTCCTTCTGTCTTCTTAATGGGATCTTTTTGTAGTTTAATACTGAGTGATTCCGAAATCTCTCTTTCTGTTGACTAAACATTTAAAACCGATCATTCAGACTAAACTCTGATTGAAAGAGGTGCGTTTGAAGTCATCACACATGTTCTACATTAATGCACCTCAAACACTGCATCATACTGCAGTATTTCATGAATGAACGGTCCTTCACTGACCCCAGACAGAGCATGCATCGCTCCAGACTCTTGTCTGCGGTTAAACACACAGCAGCAGCAGCATGCTAATCAATGCGGCGGCAGAATGATTTCACCTTCTCAACTCTCGACATTAAAGCAGCACATTTAAAACGCACCTGCGCCGCTGACCTGATTTATGACTTGAGCTGGAGATAGGGATCTGGAACTCGCAGGAAATGAATTATTTCTGTCGCACTTTCATTTAGGGTCGTTTTATTTGCTTGTGCTTTTACTGTGAGTCAAAACAAACCCAAATATCAGCTGAAAGAAACATAATTTACAGCCTCTCCTCAATAAAAGATTATTTAATATTATAAGGCCTGGTTTCACAGACCGGTTAAGCCAGGATTAGGCAATAGTTCAATTAGGACCATTTTTATAAACATGCCTTAGAAAAAACATCAGTGGTGTGCATCTTGAGACAAAACAAAGGCACTGACATATATTAAGATCAATCAGTTCAAGTTTCTTTCAGTTAAAACAGCTCAGAATTACATTTTAGTCTGGGACTAGGCTTAAGCCTTGTCTGTGAAACCGAGGGTAAACATCATAAAAGTCTTATAAACTGACATTTCTGGAAAAAAAATGACTCAAAGTCGCAGTTCTGAGAAATAAAGTCTCAAAAACGTAAAATTCTGAGAAAAAAAGTCTTAAAAACTCGCAATTCTGAGAAAAAAGTCTTAAAAACTCGCAATTCTGAGAAAAAAAGTCTTAAAAACTCACAATTCTGAGAAAAAAGTCTTAAAAACTTCCAATTCTGAGAAAAAAGTCTTAAAAACTCACAATTCTAAGAATAAAAGTCTTGAAAACTCGCAATTCTGAGAAAAAAGTCTCAAAAACTCGCAATTCTGAGAAGAAAAGTCTAAAAAACTCACAATTCTGAGAAAAAAGTCTTAAAAACTCGCAATTCTAAGAATAAAAGTCTCAAAGTCGCAATTCTGAGAAGAAAAGTCTCAAACTCACAATTCTGAGAAAAAAGTCTTAAAAACTCGCAATTCTAAGAATAAAAGTCTCAAAGTCGCAATTCTGAGAAGAAAAGTCTCAAACTCACAATTCTGAGAAAAAAGTCTTAAAAACTCGCAATTCTAAGAATAAAAGTCTCAAAGTCGCAATTCTGAGAAGAAAATAATTTTCTTGTCGCAATTCTTACAAGAAAAGTCTCAAAAACTCGCAATTCGGAGAAAAAATCTTAAAAACTCGAAATTCTAAGAATAAAAGTCTCAAAGTCGCAATTCTGAGAAGAAAAGTCTCAAACTCGCAATTCTGAGGAAAAAGTCTTAAAAACTCGCAATTCTAAGAATAAAAGCCTCAAAGTCGCAATTCTGAGAAAAAAGTCTTAAAAACTTGCAATTCTGAGAAAAAAGTCTCAAAGTCGCAATTCTGAGAAGTCTGAAAAACTCGCAATTCTGAGAAAAAAAGTCTTAAAAACTCGAAATTCTAAGAATAAAAGTCTCAAAGTCACAATTCTGAGAAGAAATGTCTCAAACTCGCAATTCTGAGGAAAAAGTCTTAAAAACGTCTCGATTACTTGTGTAACCCTCGTTCCCTGAAGGAGGGAACAGAGACATTACGTCAGTCGTGACTGTGTGCGTGGCGAAACACGCACGCCAACTGTCATTGGCTTGTTTAGTTAACACTCGAAGGTGATTGGGCTCTCGGGCGAGATCCCAATTCGTCAGTCACGACTGACGTAACGTCGAACGTGACTGACTGAAAGGGAACTCGCAATTCTGAGAAAAAAGTCTCAAAGTTGCAATTCTGACAAGAAAAGTCTCAAAAACTCGCAATTCTGAGAAAAAAGTCTTAAAAACTCGCAATTCTAAGAATAAAAGTCTCAAAGTCGCAATTCTGAGAAGAAAAGTCTCAAACTCACAATTCTGACAAGAAAAGTCACAAAAACGTGCAATTCTAAGAATAAAAGTCTCAAAGTCGCAATTCTGAGAAGAAAAGTCTCAAACTCACAATTCTGACAAGAAAAGTCACAAAAACGTGCAATTCTAAGAATAAAAGTCTCAAAGTCGCAATTCTGAGAAGAAAAGTCTCAAACTCACAATTCTGAGAAAAAAGTCTCAAAGTCGCAATTCTGAGAAAAAAGTCTTAAAAACTCGCAATTCTGAGAAGAAAAGTCTCAAAAACTCACAATTCTGAGAAAAAAGTCTTAAAAACTCGCAATTCTAAGAATAAAAGTCTCAAAGTCGCAATTCTGACAAGAAAAGTCTCAAACTCGCAATTCTGAGGAAAAAGTCTTAAAAACGCAATTCTAAGAATAAAAGTCTCAAAGTCGCAATTCTGACAAGAAAAGTCTCAAACTCCCAATTCTGAGGAAAAAGTCTTAAAAACTCACAATTCTAAGAATAAAAGCCTCAAAGTCGCAATTCTGACAAGAAAAGTCTCAAACTCGCAATTCTGAGAAAAAAGTCTCAAAGTCGCAATTCTGAGAAGAAAAGTCTCAAACTCACAATTCTGAGAAAAAAAGTCTTAAAAACTCGCAATTCTAAGAATAAAAGTCTCAAAGTCGCAATTCTGAGAAAAAAGTCTTAAAAACTCGCAATTCTAAGAATAAAAGTCTCAAAGTCGCAATTCTGAGAAAAAAGTCTTAAAAACTCG